TAATATTTATTATATTTATGTAATATATACATTTTCATTCATATAAAAAATTGTATATTGTTTACGTCACAAATGAATAATTTCTGTTAAAGACACACTATCTTGTTTTTATTAAAATAATGTTTTGCAAACAAAACATAAACTAATTTAGTATAGAGTACAAAGTCGCAGAACTTGTAAAAGCCTTTAATAGTGAGAATAAAGAAGAACATAAAGCACACGCCACAGAACCATTGCACCCTTTGAACTAGGTTTATATTTGAATTGGCAACTACATAGTCGTATTCAAATACAATCGCCACATGTGGAGCAAACACTTCGAAATCAAATATATATATATAGAGTTGAGATGGTGCAAGTTATTCAAAAAGTCCGGTCAGCTCGCGATATTAACAAAGTGCGGCTGCATAATGCATGCCTCGCAATATGGCGGACGAACAGTGACGTCACTGATATTGCTTCTAACTTTGCTGCAGTTTTGTTGACGAGTTTCATGTTAGTATGAAAATATTCGTATGTGCAGGCGTAGATAGAACTTGGCTGAGAGGTTACTGCTCTCTAAGTGTGCCAGATGGTTGGAATCATCATCATCTACAGCCGTAGTATGTCTACTGCTGAACAAAGACTTCTTTCGAGGGTCTCCGAGGCATTACAAGCGACCTGCGGATCGTAGTTAGGTCACCGACAATTTAGACGATGTCGTTGTCTATCGTAAGGTGGTTTAGGTAGTTTAATAATTTGTATAAAACAATCATAAATTATATGATTCAGTCACTTAAGAATATGATTTTTTTTAAGGGGGAAAATCATCGAATTACTGCTCCCGTCTGGGTGAGGCGGGAGGGAGTGTCAGACTCTTACTGACTAAAAACCACCCCGTTCCTTCTCCTGCACGTCGAGCCGGAGCCCCGGTAACCGATTAGGTTCTCCGCGACGCTTGAGAATATGATACACTATATCTGTGTGAATAGCTTCAACACAAACTTTATTAAACTAGAATCTGTGCTACATATGTCTAATAGCATCCGATGTCAGTACAACCCCAGAACTGTGTTATGTGTAAATAGTTTGATCTTTGTGTAATGTAAGCATTACACTATGTAGGGAAACTATTTATGCGTCATTAACCCCCACCCATCCAAAACCCGGCCTCAGCAACACGCTGTAACGCAACATAAGTGAATCAATTAACTACAAATACAGGCCATTCTACACCAAACACGGAATTAAATGAAGGCTGTAATACCGGCCACATCCTTACAACTAACACCCGAATTTATACGTTAAGTACTTGCAATAAAGTTTATATTGTAGTGCGATAAGTTGAATGTGCGTAGAAAATTATTTTGGGCTTTATTTTGTAGGTCGTAAGGTTGGTTTTGGAGTGTGTGGGTCAGGTATAGGGTGTGTTATTTGTCGGCTGTCCATTGTTCTGGCCGTGGAGTGGACTGTCCTGTGTCCGTATTATTGTAGAGCTAATGTTTGGACACATTGCTTTTAACGAGCTTTTCTTTCAGTCGGTGCCGGTTTTCCGGCCTGTTGGCGTCCATTGTGCTCGGACACATTAGCGGGGCAGGTCAATAATATAAACTATGTTTACACTTGTCATAGCTCCGTGTACTATGCGTGTTTAGGTAGATATTATATGTATGTATATGTGAGTACATGCGAGTAGTATTTCACGATGTATTCGCCTGTAATTTTCGCCGATCTGTAGAATAAATTTTAATTTTTTCTATTATTTTATTGCGAGTACATTATCATTTAATATTCATGGACCGCCTAAAAATAGATTTTGTAAGGTTATTTTAAATACATACTACTATTTACATTATATACCTCAATTTATTACATTACAGTTGTTACCTCATTGTACTCAACGTAAATTACAGTGTGTTTTTCAGAGGTCCAACAAGAGATAGGTACAATCGAAATTATGGTCCATATAAGTTTAATCAGACCTCTTCATTAACAACATCGTCAAAGATTTTTAAAAACAAAAAATCTGTTTAGAATAATTTCAACCTATCATTATTATTGATACAACTTTATTTCAACCTCAAAATGATGTTTTTTATCTTATATTTGATGGGCCGACGTTTGAATCCTATCACGCCTGGTGGTAAGCGATGATGCGGTCTACGATGGAGCACGTCCTACTCACTCGGGCCTTGAAGACACCCCCCTTCAGGAAATACAGACTCTGGCAAAGAATTGCACTCCTTAGCAGTTCGGACAATGAAGCTTGATGCGAAGCGCTCCGTGCGTGTGGGTGGGACATCTACCATGAATCGGTGAAGCTTCGTCGATTGTTTATTTCGTAACAGCCGAAGATAATATAACTGAGTAAATAATTCAATACATGCACATAACAAGTCACCATAACTCATACTATGCAGGACACAAGTAATATAATGTAAATAAATTAATATTTATATCTTATTACAATATGTCCAGTTGATATATATCCTGATTTAAGTAAACAATACAGTCTGTACCTTGCCATGTAATGGTATTAATGATTAATGCGATTAGGTAACTACATACGTAAAGAATAATATTAGACTATATTTAAATAAGTAGTTGAATGGAATTAATTTAGGAGCAATACATAATATTTTGTTCCGAAAGAAATAAAGAAAGAAAAAGTATTTATTTATTTCTGTTTAATTAATCTGAGTTGGAATAAGAATAAGACTACCTCATTGGCTGAATGGTAAGTCCGACTACCGGGCAAGGAGTCTCGGGTTAGATTGGCGGGTCGGGCAAAGTATACATTTAAAAAAAACCTCAGTAGTAGCACGGAGTCTAGAAATGTGCCCGGTATATGGCAATAGACTCACCCCCTATTACATGGGACTCATAACATAAATAATGAAAAGTGGGTGTTATATTGTACAGTGGCATTAAGTTTGGTAATGCCTCTGCCTAGCCCTTCGTGGATAAAAGGCGTGATGTTATATTATGTTGAAATATTACATTCATAAGGACTTCATAAAACAAAAGTAGGATTAAAAACAAACGAACGTAATCTACGGAAAATTTTGTAGATATAATGTAAGATAACGTATTAAACAATTGCTTTGATTTGATTTTATAACAAATGAATACAACACAAAACATTTATTCAGCAACACAACAATAATATTTGAAATAACTTGAATTTTTCCATCGCCAATAAATTCAATCTGTGTGGAGACTCGTTTTAATCCTGATACCGTTCAAAAACTAGACTGTACATAACAGTACATCAATATAAAAGGCACATAAACCATAACCTCCCGCCCGCGCCACATGACAATGTACTCGCAGAAGGTCCACGTTAACGTAATGTAAATACTAGTCTAAAGTATCAGGGCTTTGCTTTGGTAGTTATTGAAAACTAAATGATTGCAGGTAAGAATATGGGTTAATTCGATCGTGTAGTATTTTTCGTAGCCGTACCTCGTTGCTACAATTGCTACGAGGCGCTCCTCGTAGCAATAGGATCATTAAAATTGCAAAGTTATATTTTATGTAAATGTTTAGCATGACAACTCGATTAACCCGTCGTGTGTCTAATAGTGGATCCACGCGAGACACAATGCATTTTCTATTGTGTCTCATATACGGGCATTCAAGCGGTTAAGTTCAAACCACACTAAGGTCTCATAATGAATAAAGTGTAATTGTTTATTTTTTTAAGTATCTTATTGTACCACGATCATTTTTAATCATTACCTCTAACAAGCAGGTAACTTTTTTTTTCACTTGACGAACTCTGAGCTAGTTTCAACTTCTCCATTATGCTCACATAGTGACACAGTATCATCGCGAATAAAATTGTTTTGATGAAGCGACGCCTGTCGCGTCACCGCCCCTCCGGGACCTAACGGGGGAGGGAGGGCAGGGCTGAGCGATGAGGGGGGGGGGCAGGGGAAGACGAGTGGAAAAATGAAATGAAAATAATGATAAAAACGTCGACACGATGTCAAGGGACCGTCAGCCCTTCGAACGAGAAGGTAGATTGATTTTTGTTAAGGCTGGTGCTCTCTCTATATTTTTTGTTTTATTTTGGTTTGAAAACATGCGCTTTTCAATTGTTCGGTTGTTTGAAATTCCTTGCTAAAGGTGTCTGACGTTGTCTCACTAGCGAATCAATTAAGAGAGTACCCTCTATTCAAGTATGAGTGGTCATTGGAAAGGAACTAAATATGACGAATCAGTATTTTGGTAGACGGAGCTGTTACAAGTCGTTGAATTTATTGAGAAGTGTGATCATTTCACTTTTTTATAAGTCATTATTTCGTATGCATTTAACCAAACACTAAGAGCATTGATGCTGTGATCGAACGATTTCAAAATTTACCTTTAATTTTTTAGCAGCAAAGAAAAAACATTAATTACAGATCTCATTTTTACAAAGTCTTGCTTTCAAATTGAGATTGTTTCATAACATAAAGCCTTCAAAGTCATTGTGTAAGCATTGTTACAGCAACAATATGATGTAACATTATCATCGATAGCAGTTGTTAATGAGTTCATAACAATGATGTATCATTTACGAGCTGGCTTGGTATTGCGATAAATAACATTTTGTAATTACTGCATTGTTGCCAAAATTAAGCGTTTTGATGTCATCTTGCAGTACATGGAGATAAAATAATATGAATTTAAGGAATAACGTCCGTTATTAAAAAAATATGTTCTTACTTATGTATGTATACATATATGTATTGTAGAAGTTGTGTCAAGCTGCTACGAATTTATTACGATACAATAGTTTGATAGATTTGTCTCTATAACAATACATACTTTTTAATCTTCACCTCAACTGTAATCGAAGCGGTACAAATGTTTAATGTTTTTTTTTTGTTTTTTTTTGTTCATAAATAATAAGAGAGTTCCAACTTTATCGATGTTCAAACCTAGCTGATTATTATCATATTAAAAAATGTCTTAAATAACTGTAAGTGTGATGACAAAGTGCAAATCTTACCCTATTTCTTTTTCAACTGCAGATTTTGTTGCAGTGAGCAACGGCGCGCTGAGCGCGTGTTCTCAGGGTGGCATGGACAAGGACGGCAAGAAGAAGCACACGAGGCCTACCTTCAGTGGACAGCAGATTTTCGCGTTGGAGAAGACCTTCGAGCAGACTAAGTACCTCGCCGGACCGGAGCGGGCCAAGCTCGCGTACGCGCTCGGCATGACCGAGTCACAAGTCAAGGTGAGTTTACACACATAAATATTATGCTTAAGGCTCCTATAACAGTTGATTTTTCTTATGTATTTATTTCTGTGACTGAAACGCTCAGGTGCTTATGAAATATCGTGATTAATTACCATTTTACACATCTAGAACACAGAGAACAGAATTCAATCATAAGAGTACTTTTCTGTTTTTGTCGGCATCAATTGAAAGTCAATGGATTGGTCGTGATTGTATGAGTAGTGGAACAGTATAAATGAATATTGGGCTTAACACAATTAGCACAGTGTACCGACGAGTAGGGTACAGGCACCAACACGCGGCACTCGCTCTAATCCGATTACACAGATTGAAAAGTCAATCACTTAGCGGCGCGCGGCGGCGGCACGCAGTCAAACGCGGCGCTCTATTACTGAGGATTATACCACGCGACATGTGCACCGACACTTTGTTTTATTTTAACCAACCTATTTAATATCGTGATTCACACTTTTACCAATCACTGCCACGCTTCTAATGACCACAGTCTCTGAGTACATTCTATCTTTATTACATTTTTATAAGCTGTATTCGTTTTATTCCTAATAAAATATTAATATTTATATTACATTCCAATTCCCAATACAAGGAATTACGCCATTTAACTACTGGAGTTAAGTAAAACTATCTCCGTTGGTAAGAGTCGTAAAACGCAACAATAACACGCGATCATCACGAACATTTTACGAGATATAAATTACCATCTTAAATGAAGCGCCTACTGCACAGTGGAGTAAACACATCATGCAAAAGGATCTTTCAATTAAACCAAACACATAAAATAGGCGTAAAAAGGCGCAGTTATATGGAACTAATTGTGGGGCGACGTCATGCCCAGGGCGGCCCCCTCCGCACACAACTGCGGCACTCGCCGCCCGCAAGCGGTCACGGTGCGATTCCGAGCGAAACTTTATTGAATGCTGATACTCACTGTTTGTTGTTTTACAGTATTGTTTCAATTTTATTCGAATTTCCCTGTGATTGTTATGCACAAAGCAGATATTTCCATAATAATTCTGATTAAGATACCTTTTTTATCGTACTGTAGGAAGGGTAGGGTACTGTAGGAAGTTTTTACGTTTAAGACCAATGTCAAACTCTGCTAAACTTTCAATAAATATTCTCCATCAGCATGAAGTCTGATGATGTGCGCACTCCTCACAATGTAGCAGATCCCTCCAGTGTGAGTTTAATGCGAGGGGAATAATCATATTATACTAAGTGATACTCGCTATTAGGGGACTGTTAGGGTGCTTGCACAGGGCGCGACACAAACTGGGACGCGATTTATTTTCACATCGTGATTTTGGTTCTCAACTACTCCTTCGAGTTAATAGACTAGTTGTTTATGAGACGTAAAATTAATTCTTATTTTAGGTTCGGGTTTAAAATACTTATTTATTTTAATTAAGTCTGTGTTCACCAACGATCGAAGTTATTACACAATTAAAATACAATAATTTGTGACTACAGACCAAATAAAAATACAACACTGTCATTTCATTATTATATCGACTACAAGCAACTATTACTGTTAAGAAAGTAACAAAAGAGCATCGCCATGTGCAATGAACCTAACATAGCATCGTTGCAAGCAATAGTCAGAGAGGCGAGTGCAATGATGCGCACACAATGAGATTAATGTTCGCGCCACATCGCGCGGAAACTGGAGCGATGCTGCGTCCTCAGCAATAATCATGAATCTTCAATATTTTTCGACGACTCCCGGACTAGGGATACATCTGTCGTCTCATCATTTTATGTCGATATCGTATGTGTTGTTTTTGGGACTATTTTAAGATGACGTTTCGTTTTCTTGCAGTTTTCTTCAACTTAGTATTGAATAAGGTAAGAGTGTCTTTTTTGGTTTAACAAAAGAATAGGTTCAACTTAACCACCCCAATATCGAAGCTTTTAAGCTGCATAAGCGGTCTAATGGTATCAATACACAAAGACCGACAATCCTTTACAATACTAAATACGTATCACACAATACACATTCACAAATTGGACTCAAAAGCCAATGTGCGAAGGGATAATCTACCACTTTATATCTAAACACTTTACGGGATTGTCAACTTTGTGACTTTGTGTTAGGAGTGTTATGGAGTGCAAAGTTAAGTTTGTAGGGTGTTTCAATTCCCCTGCATGGGTGTCATAGCTCATTTGGCATTCGATAAAATTAATCCATGGGGAAGATTAACAGAGAGGGTAGTGTGTTTACACATGTGTGATGCAGCGGCCGATGCAACTCGAATACGTAATGCAATTAATTCTTGACGGCTGTTTATTCAATAACTATATTTCATACTTTCAGAGCATTCGAGTCGTTTAATTGCTGCATTTATTGAGTTAATGGATTGCCCTCGCTATTAGCACTATTGCTTTTGATTTCTTTTGTTTAGATTTATGAATTTTGATCATGTTTAGTTTATGGTATCACAAAGACAATGATTTCAAAGAAAGTAATTCATAAAAGACTTCCTAGACACTGTAGCCGGACTTCAAAATTCCTTGGCTTTATACACCGAGCTGAATCATGTTCACATTTATTCACTTATTCAAGACTCGCGATCATTATTTTAGGATCCTGACTCAAGTGTAGCTCTATGAGTGATTCACTCGAGTCTCGTTTCATAGAACCAGGCATTTATACGAGCCACATTAAAATTGATTGATCCCAGTTTCCCATAACTCAAACCGAAGGCCCCGAGCGCGTCGGACCTCCTTTTTATTTCCTCTGAAACTATACAGCACCTATAATAAAAATAATAAAAGATGATCTTATAATCCGCACCACGGACTGTTCGTTGGGTTTTACAACTATGATATACAACGTCGTAATAAGTCGCCCTTTAGGCAATAACTCGTGTCGCGCTCAAAATGCAAATCACTGTGTGTCGCTATCATTCCTTTTATTGTGGCTGTAAAACACCGTCGAATTAGTTGTGACCCAGCGATGGATGGTTCCCACAGCGATAGATGCGTTTAGATAATTTTATTGCGTGTTATCTCGTATTTTTTATTCCGCCGCTGATTCGGGTTATATGGTCCTGTTTCGCGAATTTTATACGATGCAGATTGTAATAATTGTGCACTAAAATTGATCGCGATTATGGCAATAAAAATGATTTTAATGAAGGGATCGTAACTGGTGTTTACACCTCACAATAAAAATATCGTTAGTGTAACACAGTCATCATTTTATTTCTGAGCCAGGAACTGTTATTACTTGAGATATAAAAGGCTAATCTCTGATCTACCTTAATACATGAATTAGCTACAAACAGCGTGACAGCGGCCACACTTCATAAAAGCGCTCCAGTAGAGTATCAGCCTCTAATGACGTCACAGATAAGATAAAATGCAGTTACCATCATGCAGATGAGGTTGAAGGGGAGTCCGACACATCGTACAAACTGTGTACCATATTAAATTATTTTGATAGATGACACTATAATTTAATTTTAATGTGTTTTGATAAAACGACCGTTGTACCCTCTTTAGTGAATTTAAAATCAAGTTTTTTGCCAATTGTAAAGTGATTGAGGATGAATTAAAATGGCTGAGTCGGCGCTTTGTGAGCGATGGCTGCGCTAAATGGTTGTGATAGAGATTTGCATACAAGTCATTAAGTAGAGGAGCCGGTTGATGTGCTCTGTTGTTCATTTTACTTTATTTGCGCTTCGTTTTTAGTTTGTACAAGTTAAACGGTTTTTGATGAGTGAGGTAAACATTGATAATAGCTTGAATGATGGGATTTACAGTTTAATTTATATTCCAAAACAATGTGGTTTCGATAATTGATTAATTATCGTTATTTAATCTAATGTGTAGTTAGTATGAAAGTCAATAATAAATATTATTTGATGGTTTTATAAGTTGTTGACCCTTTATCATAGGTTTGTGATTGAGATCAAAATAATTAAATTTCTACTCTATTGTATGGTTCATCTCCATCTCCACATCACTTATTGTAACATTATAAAAGACTAGTTTCTGCAATCGGCTTTGCCCGCGATCCCGTGGGGTAAAAAGAAGCCTATATGGCCTTAACCTGTCCCTGTTCCAAATTTCATCCCGATCCCTTCAGGTATTTTGACGTGACTGAGTAAAAAATATACACACAAACACACAAACTTCCGCATTTATAACATTAGTGAGATTCAACTACTTTCTACTACATACATAGAGCTAACTTATTGCCTTGACACTCAAACTACTTTAAACCTTTACTACCATAAAATAAAGCTGGAAATCGATTACAGACAATATGTTACCTGTATCGTCCAGTAACAATTAGTGTCGGGGACGCGAAGCATTGTACTAACTACTCAATCGGACGTAACATAACATAACTAATATGGCGTTATGAAGCCATTGCTGCAGTTTACGATACGATTAGCATATGTGTTGTTATTGAGACACACACACACATACACTGACACAAAAGGGCAATATAAAGTTATACATAATATGTATTACTAGAGGTATGTCTGTGAGGGAGAACATACACATAGTCACACCTACATATCTCTCATTGGGATATTCAGAGACAATGGAAAGTCTCATTCGCTTCATGTAAAAGGTCTTCATCTAAGTGAGGGCTGAAGTATGTATGTATGTATAATTTGGTAAGTTAAAACGAGTATTAGTTAATTAAGTTCAAAGAAACTTAACCAGATATTGCGCAATAAATATTTTATCTTTTAATTACTTAATGTGAGGCACATAGTAGTTCTGTTTAATTTAGCTTACTTGCATAGTTTTTTTAGGGGTAAGCCGGTAAACTAGCTCTTGGATCATCTGATGGTAAGCAGTCGTCATCGCCCATGGACACCTGGAACATCAGAGGCGTTACAAGTGCGCTATCGGCCTTTTGGGTATTAGAAATTTGAGGATTGTTGGCGATTCAGGTATTGGGGAGATTAAAGAGTGGTAATTGGACTAATGGGGCCTGCAGTAACCATAGTCACATG